AGTTGAAGTCATAGCTCAACATTATAGGGTAGGTTCAAGTAACTTTTAACGTGTTTTAGACTTTTTTTCTTACCGTAGACCCTGAAAAACCACTTAAATTCAAGGAAAATAAAGCCTTAACTGTTCAAACCCATTTTGAAATGTCAGAACTCACTAGACCACATTATATTCATGATAAATTTGAAGAATATCGCTGTGAAAAGTTGAGTTTTCCGTAGATTTAGCACATTCCGTATGGTCTTTAAGGTAATGACAAAAAGTGCTAAATTGAAGGAGAACTCAACTTTTGACAGCGATATTCTTTAAATTCATCATGAATATAATGTGGTCTAGTGAGTTCCGACAGTTAAAAAATGGTTATGAACATTGAAAACTTTTAGTTCGATGAATTGAAGTTGTCCCTTAGGGTCCATTAGCTCTAAGGAAAAAAATTCTAAAACTTGTTTGAACCAACCCCATAATATTTTCCCACAGGATTCACTTTCAGACAGTGATAATTAATCAACATAAACATCAACCATTACTGATAAATCATCAAAGATCCTATTGGGCGAAATTCAGCCAAAAAGCACCAGTTTGGAGTCTTGACATTTTGGCCACCATTGGTTGCTTATTTACGCTATTAAACTGTGACTAGATGATAAAGAATGCCATAGGGCGACATTCCGCCGAAAGGCACCTGTGTGGGTTCTTTACATTATGGTCACAGTTGATTGCTAAACGCTACCAAACCATGGCTAAATGATCAGAAATTCCATTTGGCGACACATGTTAACACTCTTTGAACATCTGAGGTATGAGTTCTGGAAATTTTGGCTATACTTGGTTGCTAAACGCTACTTAACAGTAAATGTTCAACAGTGACTTGATGATAAAGAATGCCATAGGGCGACATTCCGCCGAAAGGCACCTGTGTGGGTTCTTTACATTATGGTCACAGTTGATTGCTAAACGCTACCAAACCATAGCTAAATGATCAGAAATTCCATTTGGCGACACATGTTAACACTCTTTGAACATCTGAGGTATGAGTTCTGAAAATTTTGGCTATACTTGGTTGCTGAACGCTATTGAACAGCGAATGTTCAACGGTGACTTGATGATAAAGAATGCCATAGGGCGACATTCCGCCGAAAGGCACCTGTGTGGGTTCTTTACATTATGGTCACAGTTGATTGCTAAACGCTACCAAACCATGGCTAAATGATCAGAAATTCCATTTGGCATAATGGAGATGTTGCATGTGTGAGGAATTTGCGATTTGACTGTTGAATCTTGTGTAAAAAGTCACGAGAAACACGATGGTGCCACTGGTTTTCTCTGAAATCATCTCCCAAGCTCAAAAAAAGCACTCAAGTTAAGGCCAAAATGGAGGGAATATACCACCCTACCCTGAGAGTCAAAGCCTAGATCAAGACCTATTCTCCATGCAAAGATAGGGAGCTAATACTTTGACAGGGCTACCAATTTATCTGGGGACTCCAAAACTGAATACACGGCAACCCTGCTAATGTATTTGCTCCCTATCTTTGCATGGAGAGTTTGTGTTCATGTAGACGTGGACTCTCAGGGTAGGGTGGGATATCCCCTCCATTTTGGCCTCAACTTGAGAGGTTTTTTTGAGCATGGAAGATGATTTCAGAGAAAACCAGTGGCACCATTGTGTTCCTCGCGAACTTTTATACAAGAATCAACAGTCAAATTGCAAATTCCTCGCACATGTAACATCTCCATTGGGCCAAAATGCACCGATATCAATACCTCATATGTTACTTGGTTCCTCGAAAATTCTCCTCTTGGACTTAGCCTAAAAGTGTGGACACTTTTTAGCCTCCGGCGAAACCTAGAGTCTATACGGCTTCGCCGCACGACTAAAAAGGGTTATGCATGCCTTTAGACCGACATCTGAAAGAAGTCATTCAGCTCTTTTCTTATTCTCAGCATATGTTTCTGTATATGTAATTAGTCAAATTAGGCATTTTATTACATGCTCAGGCAGATAGCCAAATTCAGACAATTTACAAAACTTAGTAAATTTATGGCAATGAGCTCCTAAGTTTTCAATTTTGGGAAAAATAGCTCATCAAATCTACAAACTCTTTTTATTTTTTCCTCTTCAAATGCTTCTCATATATTTAAATGTTAAAATTTGATAAAGTCTGAATTTTATGACATTCTGATAATTTCAAGATTAATGTTAGTCTAGGAGCTAAAAATCCTTTAAAATACTATTGTATGATGCATGTTTTGCAGAGAATTCTTCCTCACAGAAGAGATGAATTATTTCATCTAAAATCAGCCAAAGAATCAGAATTTCAATCTACCTAAGTAAGAATATTAGTCCACTTGCCTAGACATTTGAAAAATTGCTTGATTTTACTATTTGCCTGCAACGTATACAGTTACAAAATTCAGTGCTTTCATATTTTAACCATTTTGTTCACCACTAATACGTGACAATTGAACGAAAAGCAGACCTCAGTGCAAGGAGGTAAAAGACTACACACTGAATACCAAAGAATTTGATGCTGGATAAATTTTGAGATTTTTTGACATGATGTTCGAGTAAGATGAATTTTTAAAACCCAATTTCCTCTGTGCCATTCTCGAGGAAATAGGGTCTGAAAAGTGCATATATCAGCAATTTAACATGAACTGTCAAGCAAAGAGGTGGACGCTGTTGCTAAGTCACAGATGTGGAGCCTCATGTTTTGAACTGAGTTAACGATACCTCTCTTCTTTCTAGCTAGTCTGAGGTAAGGAGAGAGGAACTTGCTCTTTTATCACCTATTTTTTTCCACTGGACAATGCATGTAAAACTACTAGCAAATGATCGCTTCAGGCCTGATTTTCTTGAGATTGATACATTGAAAGTTTAATTTTAAAAGCTCATCTTACTCAAAAGATAGTAAGAACATCATATCAAAAAATCTTGAAACTGAGCCGGCACTGAATTTTTTAGTATTCTATGCGTCGTTTTTTTTTCAGGCAACCGATTTTTGCCAAGTTAAATAAAAATAGAAAGCTCCTTTTGGAAAATGCGCTGAAAATCAGTGCTTGAGTTTTAAAAGTAAAGTATTTTTTACATAGTATCCCAAAGAATCAGTTGCAAGCAATTCAGCTAATATTTAGGCTATCAAAGAGCATGGAGTCAATGATAATCTGATATTTGAAAACTTTCATGCAGTTCAAGGGTATTATCATCCAAACCGAGACAATTTTCCAGAGTAATAATTATCCAATTCTAAAACTCACGGTTTCATAATGATTCCTATAAATGTTAATCTGGAGCAGGCTGGATAGATATTGTTCTAGTTGTTGCATTCTGGCTTCTATTCTGTCATCAGCTACTAACGCATCAGGAGTTTCAGGAAACCTACCGGAAGGAAAAAAATGGCCATAAAATGAGGTGAATTTACTGACAAAAAAACGCTTAGTACTCAAATCAATGACCTTTTTAAGAAAAATCCGATAGAGTATTACTTACAAGAAATGCAAATCTGCTCAGTCATATTTTAGTGTATTTCCCGAAGGAAATACACTATTTTTACTTTTTCTGATGCTCTTTAGAATTAAACGCATTTTGAGACTTCTCCTGCATCTCCTTGTTGGTAGAAATGTGACTTAGATCTTCTATGAATAAATGAGAATTGCATATCGATGGTAAAACTCCTGTATCATGTATCTCATTTGCAGTCTTTCAAAATCTTCGCTCCTAATTTATTTTTTTACAGGAGAATATATCGACATCATTCCTTGAAGATTTTTAGTATTTGCTTCGCACAGAGAAAAAAAATCACGGTAGTTCTTAGGAATTGACATTGAGTAGTTTGCCAGTTAAAAAAATGTATGACAGGAGTCTACAAAGTCGCAAACCGAAATACGCGGTTTGGAAGTTTCACCATTGATGTGTACTGAAAAAAAGAAGCAGCTTTGATCCTAAAACATGCCTGAGCTCAAAAAAGTATCCTAAAAGGTAGTTAATTTGATGAAAAATGTTTTTAAATGTTTATAGAAACACTTGGGAAGGTTCTGTTAAGGTCTGACATAAGAGAATTTGCAAGGCTTTCTCTAAGATTGCTTCTCATTCACGTTTGCTCGCAAGAATTTCATTGGTGGTTACGATAATCAGGCGCATGGGATTTTGGAGTATGTGACCGGATCAGTGAAAAAGAACCTAATTTTACGGAAGAAAATTTTCCTAAACTTTTTTCAGATGCATGGAGGAGGCAATTCTGGCGTAAGTTCGACCTTGAAAGCTTTAAAACTGAAGAATATATAAGTCCTGAAATTCCTAAACAAAATTCTTAGGTCTCAGAAAAACAGGGTTTAGATTTTTGAAAAAGTTAAGGAGAATTTTCTCTTGGCAGATTAGGTTCCGTTTCACAAACCTGATCACAAATATGTAACTTGCTTTTTTCCCAACTGCAATACTGTAAATAAAAGGCCAAGATGTAAGAACACGCGGTACGAATATCAAACTTCCGGTGTTTTATAGTTGGTAATATTTAAGAGCAGAAGTTTCACCTTCTTCATTTTATAACTGAGAGGCTTGGAGGCTGAAGTAGTTTCAAAATTTTAAAGGAGAAAAGTAATTTTTAAGCAAAAATGTATGTTACATCATCCTGCGATACGTATATAAATTTCAAAAAATGTGGAAGAGTGCAAACAAAAAGGAAAGCAGATAAGATGCTAAAAACAGTACCTGGGTAATGCTCCTTTATTTTTTAGTTTATTTTGGAGTGTGTTCATTTTGTAGCTTTGACGCTTTTCTTTGTGAGCTTTTGTTGGGAAAGGAATGTTGAGCGTAGCCCTGGAAATTAGAGTAAAAACGAATTAACGACTGTTATTTGTTGAATGAGCACAAGCAATGGGTCCATTGCGCTGGTCATAGAATCGTGTTTTGATGTTTGCTTTTGTGGATTAGCTAAAAATAATACGATCTGTCCAAACAGCACACACATTCTCACTAGTTACTCAACGTGACGCTCAGATAAAAGCAAGGTGGAAGAGACCAAAGGTGTCACTGTTGCGGTGGATAATATCATGAACCAAATTTTTAAAAGCGCGATATCTCTGTGAATATCAAACATAGAAAGTTGCAGTTTGAACAGCTGATCTTCAAAAATAAAGCATCAAAACACGATTCTGTCACTAACGGAACGGACCCATTGACTACAGAGGAGCAGAAAATTATTTTCTGCTACAGTTATTACATGCCTTTTATCTTGCTGCGTACAGCTGATTTCAGAATTTTTAGGAACAGTCTGGACTTTACGAATTTGTAAATTTTCTCGAACAAACAAACAAAGGTAATAAAAGAAAACTTTATTGCCAAGATATTGCTGAGGTGCGAGAAATAAATGAAATGGTAAAATGAATATTTTCAACGCTTCAAAAAGCTGAGTACCCAGACACCAAAAATTAAGAAAAAAATCATACTTTTAAGAGTGGTAAATTGCAATAATTTAATTATTTTATCCTTTAATCTCATCCCTCTTACAGATCCTAGGTATGTCCTTTTTAAAAACTTTACCACCGCTGTGACAGAGATTTTTAGCAGATGTATGTATATCAATCAATTCTTAAAAGCTTCTCAACATTTCTAATCAAAAATATTAAGAAGAACAGGCACTTTGAACGCCTACAGCACCTGCTGTTTGACTCACCGATAAATTCGAAGCTGCTGATGTAGATGCTGAATATGCTTGTAACGTTTCTTAATGGTCCAAGAGAAATCGCCATGTTTCAGTTCTATCGTATACCTAAATAAAAATATTCAACTTTACAATTAAATAAAAAAAGGCAAAGATCATAAAAATTTCTGAAAACCATTTTATGAAGATGTTAGTTTTATGAATTGGACAGATAATTTTCCAGATGATATAAGCGTCAAAAATTTAAAGACTGAGTTTTAATTGCCTACACCAACCAAGATGTGTGTAACAGCAAAAACAACGTTTGAGAGTATCAAATTTTAGAGGTTCAAAAAAATGTTTGAATACATGGTTTTTACCATCCTTTCATGGCTGAATGTTACAATTTTACAATCGAGCTTAAAGACAATGATTTTAATTTGGCATTGTAACCATGATGCGTGTTTCTATAAAAATGGAGACATTCATTTGAAAGAAAAAACTCATTTAGAATTAAGTTTCCTATTAAGAGTAAAGTTTTCCCTTTATGCTGTTTGGAGCGAAACTCATTACGACCAATCAAGGCAATTTAGGACATTTGACTCGGTTGAACAAATTTCGTCCCACTACAGGAGACTAACTTACAAGTTTGGATTTAGTAGGTGAGTTGTCACTGTACGTTCATAACCAGTGAATTTTAATTCAATTGGAACTCCAGGTATAAAAACAGTACGATCAGAGGCCTTGAACTTCTGTGGTGGTTTATGGACTCTAGAAAAAGGCCAAGAGGAACCTGAAACAGAAAATAGGAAGACACATAAAAACATGAAGCTAATATACAATGATAAAAAAAAATTTATTCAAGGTAGAAGTTGAAAAATGAGCAAAAAAACATAACATTTCTGGATGTTCACACTCATGTATTTGAGCGCAAATGAGGATGACAAAATTAAAAAGGAAGTATTAGTCTATTGAGTCACGCCATTCTTTGGTTGAGAGGTATTTCATTACAGGTATGGTGCTTATGGCACCCAAGTTGACAATCAAAGGCTGTGCACCAAACCATCAAAGGGACTCGATCAAATTTCCTTTGACTGATTGTTATGCGGCCTTTGGTTTCCAACTTGCGCGCTGATAAGCTTCCATCTTTTCAGGCTGATTAAGTTGACTATCATAGAATTTTTTTTTTTTTTTTTTGCTCAACTGTGCTGCATTAATTCTACAAGGCTTTTCCCTGACTCATTTCTTTTATAGTAATTCATCTTTTGAAAATGACTTTTGTGTAAGAAAACCACGAAGTACAATAGAGTCACAATGTACTGGGGCGCCGATGAAGTCAATCTCTGAATGATACATTTCTAGCCTCATGTTCACCAAAAAGTGGGAACCATCTGGGAACCAAATAGCCTTTTGTAACTTAGTGGCTCATGGATGAATCGTGAGCCCCGAGTAGTTTTAGAGATTTTTAAATGAAATCATAAATTTATTTCGCAAATTTCAGCAAATTGAGTAAGAATTCCGTTAACCAGAGTCATAACAAATTAAAAAATGTACAAAACTCCTAGTTTCGATTAAATAAATTTAATACTTATATTCTCTGAGTGAAGCTTGGAGCTAAGACTCCTTGTGGCTTGTGGCATTGCCAGTTGTCACACACTCTGCCGGGCAAAGAAAAAATGCCATATGAACCTTCAGGCGTTGTCAAATTTTGATTGATAAAACACTAAATTCCAAGTAAACCTACGAACATTTTTCATCCAATTTTTCAGATAATGTTGTTGGCAATTTCACCTAGAGTTCCTGAAAATTTCAAGGCAAAACATTCGTAACTTTCCTAAAAAATAATCATTTTACTGAAGGAAATTTGGCAACTCTCGAATGTTCATGCAGCGTTCTTTGTTAGCACGGCAGCACTAGTCTCAGAAAAGCTAGACAAAACGGCCTCAAAAAGTGACTTCACTGACGCTCCGGTACATTGCAACTCTATTGTACTCTATGAAAGAAAATTAAAGGGACTCACTTTCATCGGATCCATCTTCAGGAATTCTATGCTCCGTTACTTCTCCAGAGACGGTGTCAATGTCACCGGGGATTACTAGGTACTCATCGTAATCGGACTCAGCTGAGGCGTGCCCTCTTTCATCGTCAAGGCTCGGACTAGCTTCGACAGACATTTTTACGGAGGATCATCACCTCATGAAGGCTTTTCCACTCCACAGAGATAACTAGAAAACAAAAATAGAGTCATGCATGGATATTAAAAATTAGAAAATATTGATATAAGTGATGAGACGGTTGCCTACAAGAATGGAGAGGCCGTAACTAGTCAGTTTAGTGACGTCAAGCTTGTAGATATTTACCAAAAACAACAAGCATTTCCGGCCATCGGTGCATCGATGAGTGAGGCAGTCGCTGCGTGGACCAATCAGAGTGGCCCTCGATCGGCCGAAGTTGCATGAGAGGTGCGTTTGAATCTGAGTGGAATAACAATTTTCGGTATTACGCTTTCATTTCCTCAATTATTAGACAATGTCACAAATAGGTTAGTTATTCATCTGAAGTGAAATTTCATCCTCTTTCGAGATGGTTCTTCAGTATGAATTTTTGCACCAGATCAGCCCCCGAGAAGATATCGGTACAAGAGAAACGCTCATCAGGCGTTCTCCTATAAGAACACATTATAACCGCAGGCGAGTTTCATCTACTAGCGCAACATCACAGGAACATAGTTACAGCCTATCCAATTTGGTGGGTATCGATGAGACTAGAAAAATGTTTGAATTGTTTACATGTCTCAGTATCTACCACTCCAGATTCCCTGTTGAATGACTAGTACTTCTCAAATTTCACCTTCACTGGTTCCAAATCTGACATTTCAAAAATTTTACACCATCTTGTCCATGAGAGGAGGCACAGTACTGATTGATACCTCAAAATCTTGACTACCATATCGGTCAAAATGTAAACTTTAAAATTGAGTCCACGCCAAGTAAGTTTACACACTACTAGAGAGCAACAGACGATCCACCAACTTTGTGCTTGTATTAATTTTCAATGCTAAACTAAAGACAGTTCTTTTGTCCCACATTAAAGTGCATAAACTTATTTTGGCAAGGACTCTATCAGTCCTCATCCTGAACTAAAGCCAAAGTCACGATAAAAGTAAGTACCTGATACAGAAATGAGGGAATTACTTGATTGGCAGGAATACAGAAAGTGTTTAGGCAAATGAGAGAGTTCAGTTCTTTCATTTTTCATAATACAAAAAGATGACAGATCCAGATGGAATTTATGTTTCCAAAATTCCGAGCCAATCTAATCCTCAGGTGATAGCAATATCCCAGTTTCTCATTCACACCCTTTAGACAGAATCAGGTAAAAAGCACACTTTAGATATCAGAAGAGTCAATTTTAGCTGGAAAATCATCAAAATTAAACATTCATTTAGGGCATAAGATTTGATAACGCATATGGTACTAAAACAACAAGAACTAAACTCAACTGAAGGTATGTTGGAAAATAGGTTAGAGAACTTACAGTTTGGAATCATGCGACTGAAGGGATATAGAACAGATGGTTCGAAACGCAGTTTAACGATGACAAAAGTTGAGACAAACTTGAAAAGCGAGCGAACATCGGATAGAGCCTTAAAATTAATATTCAGAAAATAAGCCAAGGTCAATCACTTGTGCTTAAATCGGTGCAAATTACTATCATCAACAAGTAAACAAGGTTTTACTCTAGTTTAATACATCACCTAAAGGATAAAACACACTGGTAACAACTAAACATATTTTAGGAGGAACTAGAAAAAACACGGTCTTCTTATCACAGAACAGAACTGGGAAATGAGTCGGAGAATGAAATTCGGTAAATTCAAAGAAGAAGCTCTTGAATTCTTCATTCTGAAGTGGCCAATGTTTACCATCGCACGGCTGCGGCGGCGGGGACAAGCGACAAACGTTTCTCCCCCTTCCACTTGCAGTATCGGCCACCTGAAAGGCTGCTCTGTGGTGTTTTTTAAAAAGCTCGTAACTGCAATGAGAACACCTCCGAAATCTGAGGTTTTTACCCTGCACGACATGCTGCTGTTACTCACGCGACCTTGACTCACAGCTGTTCCAACAAAACACTCATTTTTTACTGGATTGAGATCTTGCATATTGCATCAATCAAACAGATTGAGCCACAAGTGTTCGGCTTCTTTTCATAATGCACCAAGTTTGATGATGCGAGAGACTCCGTTCAATAGTAATTAGCTACGGTTTGAAACGCTCCTCAATTTGTTCACAAAAGATTATTCTTGCCTTTCCGATAAAACTGAACCATGCAGCGATTAGCGGCGTTGCGTTGGCGCGCATTTAGCGAGAATATTGAGGCTGCCCTGCCCTGCCTAGCGGGCGCGCGCTCAATAAGAAAGGACGGGAGGGGGGCTTCGAGAGGATCTTCAAATTTTTGTCCCCTGATTTAGCCATTAAGAATGCACGAGGCGTCCATTTGACAAAATGTGTACGAACCTACTTTAGACCTTTGGTCTTCGTGTAAAATGAAAAAGTATCGACCGCATTCTTTAGGCATTTAGGAAACCATGCCTCTAATAATTGAAATAGCCTTCATGCACGCTGGCTTTGTCGATTTCCTTTGACACTTTTGCAGTGGTGAATGCATGGCTGAAGTGCGCTCCAGCTAGAATTGTATGTAGCACATGGGTGATATTTATACGAAGATTAAAAATAAACAAGTGGTACGGAAAAAAAAAAAATAATATGAACTATGCAAGCGATAATCCGGACAGCGGAACTTGGCTGTTTTGAAAACGTCTTCAATTGCGGCGTGATACCTCACGCATTCCGGAGAGTTCGAATAGATGTATCATTGCGCCTTAGAAATGCGACGGAAGATTACAATCGAAATAGCCTTCTACACGCTGGCTTTGTCGATTTCCTTTGACACTTTTGCAGTGGTGAATGCGTAGCTGAAGTGCGCTCCAGCTAGAATTGCACATGGGTGGTTTTTATACGAAGATTAAAAATAAACAAGTGGTACGGAAAAATAAAAGAATATGAACTATGCAAAACGATAATCCGGATAGCGGAACTTGGCTGTTTTGAAAACGCCTTTAAATGCAGCGTGATACCTCAAGCATTCCGGAGAGTTCGAATAGTTGTATCATTGCACCTTAGAAATGCGACGGAAGATTATAATCGAAATAGCCTTCTAAGTAGGGTGAAAATGCCGACTTGAGGCCAGTAAATTATCCAACAGCGTTGCATGATTGTGCAGAAAAATATGAATTAAATTACAGCGTTGTATAGGGATTATTGTTCAATATGGCAACGCTGTAAAAAGAAAGTATTGCATGTTGCCCCTTCAATATGCGGGTTATGCAAGTAGGGTAAAAACAGGAATTTGAGGCCAAAAGTTTTTAGCCAAATTGTGCAGAAAAA